AGGGCTGGCACTTGTACATAATGTGGTACTGGGGATCGAACTCGGGTCCTCGCACTTGCCAAGGCAGGTGATTAGACCACCAGGCTGTCTCCCCAGCCTGAAACACAATACTGTGAAATAATAATTCTCCGTTCCCTGCTCACCCAGTCCCTAGTAGCCACCATTCTGTCTTTATCAATTTAGCTATTCTAAGTACTTTATATAAGGGTTCTTTTTTTTTTTTTGTGACTGGCTTGCTTCACTCATAATGTCCTCAAGTTTTATCCATGCAATAGTATATGATGGTATTTTTTTAAGGTTACTTGCTATTCCATCTTGTGTATATACTGTATTTTATTGATCTGTCTGTCTGAAGATGGACAGACAGACAGATAAACTTGGGCTGCTTCTGTGGTTAAGCTGTGGTGAATACTCCCACTGCAGCCGTGGGCTGAAGTACGTCTCCAGAAGCTTGCCTTGATGCGTCTGGAAGCTGTGTTGCTGGGCTGTGTGGTAATGCTTTCCCTTTTGTGGTCCTAGGATCAAAGCCAGGGCCTTCCACGTATTCCACAGGTGCTCTGCCACTGAGCTCACCCCGTTCTTGCTTGTTTGACAAGAATCCATTAGTTTTTTTTTTTTTTTTTTTTGAAGTTGATGATCACAAAAATACTTTATTGAAGCAGGTATATAATTTACAAGATTTACAACATATAATTTAAAATTACTTCAGCCCAAGGTTAATGAGAGTTAACAAGATTTAATATCAGAGAAAAATTTCCATCTAGTGACACAGAAATATTCAAATATTAGTTGATCATTTAGGATTCTTAGAAAAACATACTCAGCAACAACGATGATGACACTATATATTCACTTGTGTAAGGGATTGTGTTAGGATGAGATGTAAGAGAACCTGCAGTGGCCATCTGGACATTGACGAGATCAGCCCAAGAATAAGGGTAGAGAACAAGAGAGATCAGGGCTGTAGCACAGTCCAAATCGAAGACCTGGAAGCTCCTGGAAGAGCTTGTTAGCTCGTCTGCAATGCCAGACTGAAGAAACTGCGGACCTGGAGACCAGTGCCCACAGGCAGTAGGCACGGGGACACTTGCGCAGGAAGACTAGAACTCTGCCAGAGGCGCACAGATCTTGTCTTGGTGCTTTTTATTCCATCCATTCTACAAGGTTTTTGACTAGTGCCACCCACAATCAGGATGGAGCTCCCCCCACATTTGTTGGTTACATGCCAGTCACCATGAACACACACACAATAATGTCTCACTGATCTGCTAGGCATTTCTTAATCCAATTTGACATCTCATGATTAACATGGTGCTGATGGACCTGGCTGCATCCTGGAATATATTTTTTCCATTAGTGTTTGAATGTTTCTTTTCAGGTATAAAATGTGTTTTCTTTCTAGCTCACTTTGTGCTTTCCCTGCCCTGGACCTAGAATCCTTATTTTCATCAAGGAGCCTTAGTTTCTTTTGAGTGGCACTGGGTATATTAATGGTTTCTGATATCACTGCTTTTCTAGATTCTTTGAGTACAAGGCAATAGATTTAAATTTTTTTTAAAAAGAAGTTATAAGTTCATTTTAATACAAATTCAGATTTGGTGTCAGGTTTTTTTTGTGAGACAGC